CAAACACCAAACCACAGGGCGTGGGGGTCGAAGGAACATATCAGCAGAGGAGATCAACATCTCGGTTGCTGGCCTGGGTACGTGGGCCTCACCTGAGCCTCGTGGCACTACTGTTTTTCAGAGATGGCTGAGGGCTGAAGGGCTTCATTGGCTGTCTTTATCCCATTGTGGGTCTTATGGGGTATTTATGATGAGCGCTTGGAGTCAGGCCACCAGACAGCTGAGCTTCTGATGGGATCATGCAGGAGGAAGCCAAGACAGGTGTCCTCAGGGAAGACAGAGGCGTCAGCACTCACCACCCGGTCACCGACCGACCGTCACCAGCAGCTTCTGGGTCTGTAGGTGCTACTGGTCACTAGCCCCGTGCAGAGAGAGCCTGCACCCAGCACCCACCAGAAACCAAAGCACCCGTGCTTACTTTTTTTGGAGCGGGAGAAGAACCGGATGCCCCCGGGAGAGGTAGAGGCATTGGAGCTTGGGGAGGACTCCTTGGACGAGGAGCGGAAGATGCCACTGAAGCTCATCCGGCGCGGAGAACGCGGGGGCGACTCCTGGTAGGAGAATGGGAACACTGTTCTGGGTGAGCCGGGGCTGGTCTTGGGCCTCACGGGAGCAGACATGGGGCTGGAGGGCTGGTGCTGGGGGCCTCTGGAGAATAAACCCTTGGAGGGGCTGCCCGCGCTGAAGGGGTTATCCACCTGTGGAGACAGACAAACGGGACACTCCAAACTCTGCCTTCTGGCACCTGTCACTGCCACAACAGACAGCCCAATGCGCCTCAAGATTAGCTGCCTCCCCCCACCCCACCAAGGTCCCCTGCCCAGGATGGAGTGGGATAGCTGGTAGGCCACCCTGTCCAGGGGGCCAATGACACCCCTACTCAGGGCTTAATCCTGGGGTTTCAAGGAGATGGGTGAAAGGGAATGGGAGCGCACAAAACCATGCATCTGATTCATGTCACCTATTTGGGTTGCCCTTAAGGAATCCTGGTAGCGTGATCAAGTAAGTGTTGGACCGATAACCACAAAGTTGTCGGTTTGAATCCAATAGCCGCTCCGTGGGAGAAAGAGGAGGCTATTGGCTCCTACAAAGACTTACAGGCTTGGAAACATTATATAGGGTCACTATGAGTGTGTGTGTGTGTGGGAATGCCGGGGTTCTAGCTTTTACGGTTCAAAACCTTACTTCTGTTTCTTTCTCAAGGTATAACGACTAGAATATGGTTCTCCTGCCCCACTTCAGAGGAGGAGACACACATCTTTATGATCTACAAGGGAGCAGGCCTATGGATCCATCCCAAGGGATCTTGGCTCTCAGAGGCCGTGGGGCTTCCTCACCGTGACTCTGGTTCTAGAGGAAATCGGGAGGAAAGCCAGGGCCGGAAACCTCAGACTTTCCCAAAAGTCCAGATTATTTACAATTGTCGCTTTAAATGCTGGTTTTAAACAGTTGTTTTTTTTTTGTTGTTGTTTTTAGAAAAGTATTCTGGTTCAAATAACACAGGTCCATGTTCCCGTGTGCAATTCAGTGATATTAATTGGTGGTGAAACCATCGCCACTGTTTATTCCCAGAAGGGAAACTCCATGCCCCTTAAGTATTTGCATTTCCTCGTCCCCTTCCCCTGATAACCACGAATAAACTTTTGTTTCTACTCATTTGTCTCTTCTAGATGTTTCCTAGCGAGAGGGTGGTACACTATTTGTCCTTTTGCGACTTACTTATTCCCTCAGCATGACGTCCTGAAGGCTCACCCGTGTGCGTAGCGTGCGTGTATCAGGACTTCATGTTCCCTCAGGGTGAGTCATGTTCTATTACATGTATGCCTTATCTTGGGTTTATCCACTCATCTCTGGGAGACACCTTCGTTGTTTTCACCTCTGACTGTGGTGAACATGGATGTACAAGGATCTGAATCTTTGCTTTCAGGTCTTTGGGGGCGAGGGGTTGCTGGGGGATATACCTAGAGAACTGCTAAGACCTGTGATCATTCTATGTGTAACTTCTTGAGGAATGAAGTCCATCCTTTTAAGCCAAAGCATATAACATAGCTCCAAGACTTGGAGACATATCAGGTCAACCCTATATACTGCGTGCTCTGGCTCACAATGGCCTAAGATGATTTGCTCTCTGCAGCATATACCTTGGCTCAAGGCCCAGCTAGGTCCCTACTGGATGGCCCTGGGCATGTACAGAGTCACTCTCAGCCTGTATCCTGCTCTGTGCAATGTGTCCTCGCCTCAGCGGGCTGTCTGAGGTCGAATGAGCATTCACCTATGAATGTCAGCATAGTACCAGATGCACAGTCACAAGTCGACCAAAGCGAAGTGGCTGTTCTTTTACCACTTGGTAACCTTACAAGCCTGCAGCAGAGAGGGCCTCCTCACTCGGGACTCCCAAGTCCAGCAGCAGGAAAGGGCAAGGGCTTGTTCGTAGCAGGTACAAGATCTGACCAAGAAGGTCCAGCACTTCTCAAGCGACCTAGAAGGCCACGGAAGCCCTGAAAAGAGCCCTTGGCTTCAGACAGCAGAGTGCTGAGAATGTGGGTCCAAGCTCACCTGTCTGAGGTGAGTCACGGGCCCAGGCCTTCCTGATGCCACATGAAGGGCAGACCCAGGTAAGCGCTTCCCTCGTTGTAAATTTCAATCTGTGGAGCTACGCAAGGGTGTTTTCAACATCATTAGCCACCTCAGGGTCCAAGGTCTGACTCCTGCCTGTGGATTCTGGACCCAACTTCCAGAATCAGATGGGGAGCCTTACTGCTCCCTTCACCGATCAGTTGGGGTGAGGATGGGGGGCGGGGGTGGGAACAGAGGAGGGGGCTACAGAACAGTGACCAAAGGAGCAGTCAGATTGGTTTTCTGTTGGAGCCATTTGATCTGAAAAGCATTTAGGTTCTCTGCCGTTGGTGTAAGCAGCTATGTGTGGGATTCAAGTTTTCGGAAATGTTTCCTAATGTCAAAATTCTTTTATTGGCAAGGCGTGCGAGAAAGGAAGTCAGGAGCAGGAGGGCATGGGATGCGTGTGTAACTGTCCACGTGAACAAGTGCGCCCTTTGCAGGGTTGGACTGAACTGAACATTCTCATCAGAGAGTCTACAGAAGAGCCCTGATTAAAAGGGAGAGGAGGCAGAACAGAAGGCCAATGTTCATGAACTGCAGACCTTCTGGAGGCATGGAAGCTGGAAGAACCCCTGAGACGATGGCCTTTAACCCAAAAATACCCCTGACGTCTTCTTAAAACCAAACTGCTTCGACCAGGGGTCAGCAAACTGCAGCTCACGAGCCGTATGCGTCTCTTTGGGTACGTACGTCCATGTGGCTCTGAGGTACAGGGAAAAAAATCGAAAGGCTATTATTCCGACAATGATGATTTCATTTGTTGGTAAAAGTGTATTTATGGCTCTTGACTACTTTTTAAATGGTTGTGCACTCGGGGTGGGGTTGGCTCGTCTGTCTCCAAAGTTGGGGACCCCTGGCTTAGATGAACAAGTAGAGCATGAGTGTCTTGGGGACTGGGCTTTTAGAAAGGTCTCCAGTGAAACCGAGAGAGCCAGAACTCGACAGTTCCCCACTGCGGCCGTCCGCGGTCTTGGCGCTTTTCTGTTCTCGTGTGATGGAGAACTTGGGGGTGATGGAGGGGACAAGGAGTTTATCTCAGAAAATTGAGAAGGATTACATCATCACATCCACTTGAAGAATGCGATTGATGTAAGTGAATTGCACAGGTGGACATGCCTGAATTGGTGTTTGTCCTGCTTTGGAGATGCTCAACATCAAAAATAAAATATTTTTTAAAAAGAATAGCTGGTAATGGCTCATCCAGTGGTGGGCAGAATGTGCACCCTGAGGGGCGTTGAGAGAAGTCTGGGGAACAGCGTGGATGAGAACTTGAGAGTGAACGCTGCAACGGGGGTCAGGCAGGGATTCGGTAGACCACTGCTAGAGCCCTTGGTATCAGCTCATTTCTCCCCTCCCTCCCTCATGAACCCTTGATTATATGTATACACACACACACACACACACACACACACACACATGTCTTACTCCAACTGCTGTCTCCCTTCACCCACTTTTCCCCCTGGGAGGGGGTTATATGTCGATCATGGTGATTGGTTCTCCCTTCCTCCCACTTTCCCCTTCCCTCCTGGAATTGCTACTCTCATTACTGACCCTGAGGGCAAGATCTGTCCCTGACGCCCTGGGTTGCAGTGGCTGCCTTTCTTCTCCCATTCCCACGGAGATTTCACTTCCCGCTCTGAAGAGGTAATGCCCTGGCATCACCCTGCATCCAAGGACCTATCCCTGGAGCCAGTGTTAGATTATCTCCCAAGGAAGGTAAGCCCAGCTTTATTTGTGTGCTTTTATTTATTTACCTCCTTAAAATTTCACATTTTCCTCACCATATCCAAGATTCAGCTTTAGATATGGCTGGCATTTCTCTCTTCCCCCCACAACCCGAAGGCATGCACCTTCTGATAGAATCAAAGCTGTTCTTCAAATGTGCCAACCTGAAGGGGCTGGAGTACCCACTAAGCCAGGTAAGCACAGGTTTAAGTAAGCACAAATAGGCCTGTGCTTGCTTACCTTGCTTAACGGGCACCCAGCCCCTAAGGAGAGCACTTCTTTTACATTATTTCCCACATACTAAAAAGTCAGGGCTCTATTACAGGTTCAGAGAGTGTGAGTAGCTTGTCCCAAGTTTACACTCAAGGCAGGTTCCCAGGAAAGAGGAATGGGAGAACTGGGCCATTGTCTCAGATCAAGAGAAGAAAACCAGTGGGACAAGAGGAAAATAAAAGGAAATAGAGCAAAGAGCTAGGAGGCAAAGGGCATTTATAGAGGTCTAAAGACAGACATGTACATACATATGTAAATTTATTTATATATGATGGGGAAATATATTTATGTGCATATATTTATAAGTTTAGTTTAAGGTAGCAGATGGACACTGGGCCTCCACTCAAGTACTCCCTCAATGCAAGAATATTTTGTTCTATTAAACTGGCATTCCATGATGCTCACCTTCCTGACACAACTGCTGAAGATAAAGCGGGTGCATAAGCTAATGTGGTGAAGAAAACTGATGGTGCCTGGCTATCA